CTGAATGTGAGGAAGAACTTCTTTACTTGCTGGGTGACTGAGCACTGGAACAGATTGCCCAGGAAAGTTGTGGAGTCTCCCTCACTGGAGATATTAAAGAACCATCTGGATGCAATCCTGTGCAATGTGCTCTAGGAAGACCTTGCTTGGACAGGGAGGTTGGACCAGATGGTCCCTTCCAACCTTAACCATTCTGTGATATAGACTTTGAATTAGCATCTTTCATACATAAAGCATACTCCATTGATGAAATGCAGCAGAGAGCAAATCAACCAGTACAAGCCTGATGGATATTTCCTTATTTAAAACAAACAAACAAAACCACACAAAAGCACAAACAAGACAAAACAAGCTCATTCTCATTCTTTTCATAGTTGGACCTTCTTTATTTTCCTTTTCTGGCCTTTTTTACTCTTCCATCTCAGCCTATACCCAGTCCAATATACACTTATGGATAGGTTTTCATGCAGCTGTTTTAAAACCTAAGATCAAACAGCTTCCAATACATATTTCAACTTTTCTATGATCAGAAAATTCTGAATATAGTCAGTTACATAACTCACAAGATTTAAGGTTAAAATCCTATTTTCAAGTGCTGAAATGTTTTTAAAAGTCCTTGTTAAACAAGAGATTCCTCTTTAGCTTAACTTCCTGAAAACTCTGTAGATAGTTTATGTAAGCTTCTACAAGTTAGACCTGAATAGAATCATCCCCATATACTGCTGGCATAAATAATTTTTAACTTTGCCATCCAGATTTAGTCACTATGAAAATTAAAGCAATGGCAACCTCTCGTGGTACCTTTGCTTGTAATGAAGTCTTCCTATTTTCCCAGTATACCATTTTACAAGCAATGAGCTTTTCTAATATACCCACTATTAAATGCAAATTTATGCTTACTTTTTTTCAGACACAACAAAATGAAATAATTCGGGAAACTACAGTGATAGGAAAGCAGTTGCATGACATATTTAGCAAGCAGAAATATTAAATTCCAAACCCTTATAACCAAAAAGAAACTGGACATCTTCAAAAGTGAGTGCCAAAAAGACTAGAGAAACAGTGGCAAGAGTGTGCAAACAAAGACTCTATTATGCCATTAAACCAAGTGTGATGCATCTTTTATTATTAAAACCGATGCATTTTTATCCCTATTACAAACCTTGTTCTGCCTACTGCCACTTTTAACAATTAAGGTCTTCTCCAACAAACCCAAAAGTCCTTGTACACTAAAGATGTCTCAGTGTTTTACCACTACTCAGTTACTAATTGTTATTACTAGTTGACAGTAGTTACATAGTTAAATTAATTATTAATTGTATCTCAAGTAATAAACGTAGCTCAATGGCTCATTGTACGGTTTAGGTCAAATTCTATTTCTTCTTCAATTCTAGTAGAATTTGACTTAATTTGCACAAAGGTAATTTACAGTTAATCTGCAACAATGTTGCAATGAGACAGTGTTACAGTGCAAGTTTCTTTAGGGCAGATGTGAAGATATAACTAGAACAGCAATTTTAAATGAACTTTCCTAAGCATTTTTTCTGAGATGTTTACCAAATATCCTGGAAGATTCTACATTAAAACCTGTGTCTTACTTTTTTTTTCCCCAGCCTTTTTTGGTTATTTATAATTTCATTCTATTGCAATGTGTAAATTTATAGAAATGAGCTGTCTCCATTGTATATGTTGTGTTTATACTTCATACAAATAAAAGCAAAAATGGTAGATTACTCAAAGTGGTATAAATCTTACAGCATTTTGCTAGTAATAAAAATACATGCCAAAATCACCATAAGCAGCACTGGTACCCACATGTTGTTATAGCCTTCAATTATTTCCTTTTTAATTTGTATCCTACATAAAATATTACTGAATGCTAATGGTTTAGAAGTAAATAAATTGGACAGTTGCAAGTCAGACAAAACCTGCTCAATCAACTGTGAAAGCTGATAACGTTTTGAAAAATTTAAGAAATAACGAACAAAAGCGATGCACATGACTGAGTGAAAATGCATAAATTCTGTTTGAAGAAAACTACTGCACTTGACCTTAAAATGCATGACTTAGTTATAACAAGATAAACCCAAGAGTCAGAATGAAATAAAGCAACTGCTTTAAAGATTTAAGAGCTGTTATCAAAAATAAATTACGTTTCTTCACGTTAAAGAGACACTGCTATGAAAGCTGAGCACCAAGCAGCTTTTCAATAGCTGCACTGATATCTCCTCCTGTTGCTATTAGAGCTTGTAAGTTTGCTTCATGGTTCAAAAAGCCCATTGCACTCAGCTGCTCCAGTTGTTGCTGAAATCTAACTTCTGGATTTTGTAACTGCTAAGAAGAAAAATGTCAAGATATAAAACCATAATACACATTTGGCAAAGTACAGGATTTAAACACAGCTGGTTTGGAACCACTTCTTATCTTTACTAATTTCTGAATGCATCTTTTTTTTATTCTGCTTAGTTCCATCCATTGAGAAATTCCTACCAGTATTTAAAAACTGCATATACTTCCAAACTAATAAAATTCAAACATACTGGCTGAAGTGTAAACATTCCTCCCTCCCATCTGCTTCCCCAGAGAAAAACCAAACAGAATACTGAATTGGCAGCAAAAGATCTAGCAGGATAAAAATATCTATGGGAATGTGGCTTCCTATAGCTATGCTGACCATCACTTTCTCATGGTTACATAACATTTTTCTGTCAGATCAGCAAGCTGAACTGCCCTATTATGTGGCAACAGAGGAGGTAAGAACAGGACTGTCCCTTTTACCAGCAGTCTGCCATTACACCAGATATGTACCACAGTGTAATGGTGCTGTTTCACAAAGCTACCACTTTTGCTTGACTTCTGGAGCTCTCCAGAAAGCCTAAATCTTACCGCTTGGTATGTTAATGCAATGTACATTGCACAATCTGAACCCACAGGATGTCAGGGATGCATGCTACAAATTCAGGCTCCAAATAACCTAAGCTACAACCAGCAACACGGATACAAAGCACAGAGATAATGATGTTCAGTACGCTTAAGTTCTTTTCCTGTCTGAGCCCACATTTCATTCGCCAGGGAACCAGTCCTCCCTTTAACACCTTAATCTGCTTCTTTCCAGGCATTTCAGAAACTCAAGAGTATGAAGACAGGTGTATAACAATCAACCATTCAGAGGACACTTTTACTCAAATGTGATGTTTTTGCAGCATTTATTTGCACAGCTAGAACATCACTTTTAATCTACCTCTGTTCTCCTTTGACCAGAAACATTCTGTTGGTTTATAGTGGGGAAGGCAGTGTGCATGTCTGTGCATGTCTGTCTGTCTTGCTGGATATTTAAAAAACCCTAAACAAAATAAAAACCACCAACCACTCCCCTAAACACACTAGAATACAGTCATCTACTTTACCTGAGCATTTGCACCAGCAAGTGCCTGCAACATTTGTTGGACAAACTGCTGGTGACCAAGTTCAGCAGCCCCTGATGTTGAACTTGTATTTTCACTGGGAACAGAACTAGGTACAATGGACCCTGTAGGAGCTCCAGTGCTTCCCAATCCACCTAAACCAGGATTGAATCTGCACAAATGACAGAGAAATACATCACTAATGTAGAAAATGGCTTAGTTATAATCTCTTCCCATGAGATGTAATTACTAAGTAAAAATTCTGTCAAATAAAACATGGATGCCAACTTAAGTAAAGCACTAAAACAAGACCATAGACCATTGCTTAAAAGCATGACAGATTCTAAAACAAGTTGAGTGAAACTAAAAAATGCAAGAGGAACCATCTGTAAAAACTGGATATGTGTTAAAAAAGAAAGACAAAAGCTGAAAAAAAACCCCAAATATGAGAGAAATTTCTTACCCTGGTATAAGTCCGGGTGCTTCTGTTGCTAGTGTCTGCAAGCCCTGCTGAATCTGTAGCAAAGCCTGCATTGCTCTAGGGTTTGACATAGCGGATAACGTGTCAGGATTCTGCATCTAAAAACAGGAGAGAAACTCATAATTGAATAATATACAGACATTCAAAGTTGATCTTTATCACTAGATGTTTTATACAATTTGATATCCTTTCAGAATTTGCTGTTTTTCAACTTTGCATTTGAATGTTTACATTAAATCCTTCTGATTTATTTTTTTGAGAAAACCTTCACAGGAGATGATCAACAAGCTCTCTAGATTCCTTTTAAACAGAGAACATTACTTCTAGTGTATTAGTTCAATAAAATTCTAAATTAGTCTCCTATATCATAATACTGGTATGCAACAGGGCTGAATACAGTGAAAACTGACTAGCAGGTAACTAATACAGAAAGTTGTAAACCACCTTCTTCTAGCTAAATTCAGACTATAGCTATTTGATCATGATAATTTGTGTTCCTATCTGTAGTGCCATTAACACCTACAGACATACAAATATTCCACAAAACATACTAGCAAACATAATATTCAAGGACCCTCATTCTTCCTTGATAAGGACACGTGCCTAGTAGATGAAGGGAAGGCAATGGACATAGTTTCTCTGGATTTTAGGAGGCTTTTGATGCTGTCCCTCACAGGATCCTTCTGGACAAGTTGTCCAACTATTGGATGAAGAGGTTCATAGTGTGCTGGGTAAAGAACTGGCTGAAGAGCAGAGCTCATGAGGTTGTAATGAATGGGAATACATATGGCTAGCTACCAGTCACCATCAGTGTTCTTCAGGGCTCAATTCTAGGGCCAGTTCTGTTCAATAACTTTAGCAATGATCTGGATGCAAGAGTTGAATCCACCATTAGCAAGTGTGCTGGTGATACTAAACTGGGACATGCTGGTGACTCTTGCAAGGGATGAGAGGCTTTACAGAGGGATCTAGAGAGATTAGAGCATTAGATAATCATCAATGCCATGAAATACATAAATCAAATTAGTAAATATTTTACTCATAACACTGCCTACATGCAGTGATATACCTACCGGCAATACACATTTACTTTGAATTGTAGAGTGCCTAATGATGGAACTCGTACACTCGATTAAGTTTTCAAACCCTAAAAATTTTGCTTAGTCCTATTTAAAAGACACAGTCCTAGTATACACTCTGATAATGAAGATAAAGCAAATACCAGGGCTACAACCACAATAGGAAGAAAAGCTGGTGGTAAGGCAATCTTTATAGGCAAACACCTTCAGAACCTGCTCCACTTCTTTTGAATTAGATTACAACTTGCACCGTTCATAGAATCATAGAATCAACCAGGTTGGAAGAGACCTCAAAGATCATCAGGTCCAACACTACCAATAATAGTAGACCATGGCACTAAGTGCCACATCCAGTCTCATCTTCAAAACCTCCAGGGATGGGGAATCCATCATTTCCCCGGGCAGCCCATTCCAATGCCTGACTACTCTCTCCATAAAAAAATCTCTTCCTAATATCTACCCTAAATTTCCCCTGGCAGAGCCTGAGTCTGTGCCTTCTTGTCCTACTGCTGGCTGCCTGTGAGAAGAAACCAACCCCCACCTGACTACAACCTCCTTTCAG